ACTCACTTGATCTGGCTCTTTCTTTATCCAAAGATAAAGGAAAAATTGAAAGGAAGACCTTTTGATGACATTCAGGACATCGAGGGTAATACGACAACAGCTCTGATGGCCATTCCAGAAAGAGTTCCGAAATTGCTTTGAAGGGTGGACTAGGCACTGGCATGGATGCATAGCTTCCCAAGGGGAGCACTTCAAAGGTGACTGTAGTGATATTTAATGATGAGGTATGTAGCACTTTTTCTAAGATGAGTTTGCGAACTTAATATGTCTTAGGTTTGACTCTCTCTGGATAGGATGCTTCCCAAGTGTTTTCAGGGCTGGAGTTCCTGACTCTCCTTCACTCTAACCTACTTTCTCCACTTTAGGGTTCCCTCAGCAGCATATTCAGGTGTTCCAAGGGGTAATATGAGGGAAGATGCATAGCACAGTGCAAAGAACATGAAATTTGGAAGAATACACTTGAGTTATAGAGTCAATATTTAGAAGCTAGCAAAAGTTATCTAAAATTTCTGTATTTAATTTTTTTCTTTTTTAGATTTTTATTGGGAAATTGGGGGAAGAGAACAGTGTTGGGGAATTGGGGAAGGGGAACAGTCAAATTGTTGTCCTTCAATCTTAGTTGTGGAGGGTGCAGCAAGCTCAGCTCCAAGTCCAGTTGTGCCCCTCAGCTCAAGATGCTGTGTTCAATTAGTTGCGGGTGACTGTAGCCACCATCCCATGCGGGAGTTGAACCAGCAGCCTTGTTGTTAAGAGCGCACGCTCTATCCACTGAGTCACCTGGGCGGCAGCTCAGCTCAAGGTGCTGAGTTCAGTCTTTAGTTGTGGGTGGGTGTAGCCCACTAATCTCTAACAGGCAATCTTGTTGTTAGGAGCACATGCTCTCACCAGCTGAGCCATCCTGCCACCTGTTGGCAGCTCAGCAGCAGCTCAGCTTGGGCGCAGTTCATTGGCTCATGTGGGAATTGAACCGGCTACCCTGTTGCTCAGAGCTTGCGCTCTTAAGCAAGCTCTTAAGGAACTGAGTCACTCGGCCGGCCCTGTTTAATTTTTTTTACAGCAATAAAATGTGGATTAATACTACTTACCCTTATTCTTTTGAAACATGTTTGCATGCCTTAACTGTCTGAGGAACTATTCTAGGTGTGAAGACAGCAGTGAACAAAACCAATAAGATACCTTGTCGAGTCTCTAGTAGGATGAAATAAGTCAATGGTTGTTAAGTGCTTAGAATGACTGCAGATATACAAAATGTGCTTGGCAATGTTTTTGCTTAACAAATATTTATTGAATTCCTACCAATGTTCTGGTCAGTGTTGTAGCCACGAGGATATAGTATTGAGTGAGACCAGGGGCAAAAGATCAGAAAATAAAGCAAAATGAATGAGTCAGTTAATTTCAGATCGTTATATGTGTGTATAATGCACATAAATCAGTAAGAACAAAACCAAAGTATTCTGGAGATCAATGGGAAAGTTTTATTTTGGAAACTTAAACTAAGCCAGCCAACTGAACTATAATGCTATTAATAGAAGTAAGAAGAATCAAAAAGTAATGCTAGAAGTAAAAGGAGAATTTAGCAAATCAACATAGGGTGATCAGAATTGATCAGAGTACAATGCAGGGGAACAGGAGATGTGGAAGCCAGCTGGGTAATCACTAGTAAGCAGGTGGCTTTATTCCTCTCACTGGAAAGGGGTAGGGGGAGGTGGTAATACTAGCAAAGCCCTCATGATACTTGGGCTTCTAATAATTTAACGATCCCATAACCAATGATATCTGTGGCTATTTTTTTAGTCAAATCATCTGTGATTCTTTGATTCTAGTCCAACCTCTCTTCCATCCAAGAAATTCCTGCTCCCTTCTCTAGCTGTGATGACCTAGGATTATAGAGGTTAAAAAAAAACCACACTAGGCATGTCACTTCAGCAGCTCCTCAGAGTAAGGAGGTACAACCTCAGAAAGCAGCTGTGAGAAAAAGAAGTATGCTGGACTAGGAGTTCGCTGGCCCAAGTCATTACCATGCTTTGCTTCAGAGAGTTGCATGTCCTCTCTTTGATTTGGTTTCTTCAGTTATAAATTAAGGGTAATGATCCCTATCTCTCACAGTTGTTATAGGGATTAAACAAAATGGCATATGTGAAAGCTCTTTGGAAACCAAAAATACTCTAGAAGTGAAAGACATGATTAATCTGTGGGCATGGATCACAGCTAGCTCCTGGACAAGGGAGGAAATACAATGGCCGACTTCGTCCCACTAGGGGATGATTTTGAGGCTTTGGGTAAATTATCATCTCTCTGTGCTCTGGTTTTCTGACCCCCAGTATGTGGGAGTTAGTCTTGCTCTGAAAGATTCTTCAGTAATTCAATGAGCCTCTCCTCAAGCGAAAGTGAAATTTGTAATAGCTAAAAAGTATCTAACTCAAAAAGAAAAAGTGTCTGACTCATCTGACCTTTGTGTATCTCCAGATAACCCCAACTTCTGCAGGTTGTACTGCCTAGCTTTTTGTTGTTCATAAAAAACAAACAAACAAACAAACAAACAAACAAACAAACAAACAAAAACAGTTTGTGCCTTTAAGTCTGGAAGGATGTCAGCATTTGAAAATATTAACATGCAGATAAACTAAGCAGAACTGTTCGAGTTTTTAAAGGGAGGTTGGAAATTTGAAGAAAGTTAGATGTACCATGATTCATATAACAATTTTCTTTATACTTCCATCCTCACAGCATCCCTCCTTTCCAGTCCTTTACCCTCTATTGGGGCAATTTTGTATCTTAATTTAGCCACATAACTCCTTATTTATAGCAACAATAATTTTTTAAAGTAATTTCAAACTGTTTTGGGGCAACATTAGCATAATAAAATAGGCAAGGGGAGGGTTATCTGCAAGACTCTAGACTAGGGTGAGGGCCAGAGCCGTGTGGGAGGTTGAAAGTGTTAATGTTGGCAGAATGGGAGGAACCGGCCTAAGGAGATATGATCTTTGAATTCTGGCAGCTCTATGGTAGACTGAGAAAAGACACACAGAGAGAGAGACATATGAACATTTCTTTAGTTACAAGCTCTGATACATGCTGGGAGAAAAGGTTTACAAAGCTAGCTAGTGTACAAAGAGTGGAGGTGGGGGCGGACCTGGTTCTGCCTTTGCTCATACAGAGTCTGTGAGGTCTGGAAATACTCTCCTGAGGAAATGACCTTTGAGCTAAGATATGAGTAGGAAATAACTAGGCATTGGGAGGGGTTGAGGGAAGGAGAAGGCAAAGAGCTTCTCAAGCAGAGAGAACTGTTTGTACAAAGACCTTGGGCAAGAAGAAGCTTTGCGTATTAGAGGAACTGAAAGCATGTCAGCTTTGCTAAGATACAGAGCAAGTGGTACAGGACAGGGTAAGAGGTAATGTTGGAAGGTAGACCAAGGTCAGACTGTGCATAATCTTGCAGGCTATGCCAAAGATTGTGGTCTCTACCCTGAGAAATCTATTTCAGGAGATCAGGCAAAAGGTTAGGGTGGTGGTTGAGGTGGAAATGTAGACAAAGGCACATGTTCAAGAGATATTTCAAAACAGTAAAATTGTGAGGAGTTACTAATGAACTGGATAAAAAGAGTGAGGGAGAGCTGAAGGTGCCAGAGTGCTGCCCAGATTCTGACTTGCCACAGAGGGGGCCTTTTTTCACCATGATGTGAGGGTCTCACCACTATGGCTTTGCTTGTATTTCAGCGTAAGCAGTGGGGAGCTGGCTGTCCGGGTACTCACTGGAATCTTGTCTCTGTTCTTAAACACAGAGGCTCACATTTGGGGTGCTAGGGAAGAAAGTGAGCAGACTGAATGGCCCAACAGGAAGGGTCACAGGTGGGCCTGAGAGGTGGGGGAGGTGGGGGTGAGAAGAGAGCAGGGACAAGGACAGAGGGAGAGAAGGGCTGGGGAACACTGAGATGAAAGATTCCTGGGATATGAAAGCCCTAAAGAATATAAGCTAACCCAGTCCAATCCTCTCAATGTACAACAGAAAATTGGTGTTAATGTTTGCACTTGATTATAAATGTGATACTTATAGAAACTTTGGAAGACATAAAAAAATGTAAAGCAGGGCCTGCCGAGTGGCTCGTTGGTTAAAAGTTGGCTTGGGAGCACGAGCTCTGAGCAGCAGGGCCACCTGTTCGGATCCCACATGGGCCAGTGACGCTGCGCCCTCTACAGCTAAGATGGTGAACAACAGCTCGACCTGGAGCTGGGCTGCCATGAGTTGCCGGTGACCGCGTAGGCTGCAGTGGGCTGCCATGAGCTACCTACTCTGAGTGGCTGGCAGCTGGTGTGAGCTGCCGTGAGTCACCATGAGCGGTCATGTAAGAGCCAGCAATTGATCTGCCTCAGCAGGAAAGAGTGCAATGATCACAATACCAATATGGGCCAGTGAAGCGACGTCCTCCACAACTAGACTTATGAATAAAAGGATAGCAACTTGTCTATTCCCCTTCCCTGATTTCCCAACGCTGTTTGCTCCCCCAATTTCCCAATAAAATCTTTAACAAAAAAAAATGTAAACCAAAATAAAATCACCCCTAGTCTTTCCTTCTAGAGGCATCCACTGCTAAATCACGGTCTTTCCTCCCATTTTTTTTTCTTTGCATTTTTAAGATGGTTGGAGCTATACCATAGAAACAATTTTATATCCTGCTTTTAAAACTTAAACAGCAGTTGCAAATCTTCTTGTTGTGGGGAACTCAGACAGAGAGACAGGACACCAAGGCTCGGGAAGCAACATTTATTAATGCCGGCACAGGCTCAGCGGATTCACATCCAGAGGCTGAGCCCCGACCTGGGCGAAACTCAGGGATATATACCCTGAGGTTTCCAGGTTGGCAGCTAAGATTCTTTATCAGGACATGTGGCCCTGTGCCAGTTCCTGACTGGCTCCTGGGTGAGGTAGGAATTTGGAAATGTTAAACGCGGAAGTCTTAATGGCCATGCAGTCTAGGAATGTCCTTGTCTGAAGCTCCCTGCTACAGCAAGGAATCCTTGGTGACCACATGGTCCGCGAAAGCCTTTGTCTAGGGCCCACTGCCACATTCTCACATGGTATCCCAAAGTCTTCAATGAAACAGATTTACACAAGCTGGTTATGAAAAACACTGAAATAAGTGGTGGTGTCAGGACTCCTTGGGCCCTGACAAGGGCTCTTTGCTGCTCAAACAGCTAACCGCGAGGCAGACCATCTGGCAGGTGAAAAGTGGTTACCCAAACTGGACTGGAAGCAAACCTTGGACCGCCAGAGTTGGAGTCCTGCCATATCTGGGCTGGGAAACTGCCAACAATCGGGTCAAAGGCGTGGCCACTGAGGGGCCGGCAGGGGAGAATCAAAGTTTGGAGTCAGAACTCGGAGCCCTGCGACATGAAGTGCTTGCCGTTTTTGCTGCTGTGGGGGCTCCCCCAGATTTGGGGAAGTTCTGAAGGTGAGTGGAGCGAGAGTGCTGGGGCATGCGCCTGGGAGACGGCGAGAGGGGGCTGGGCTGGGAAAGGGGGCGACCCATGGTGGAGGCCGACGGAGACCCCTGCGTCTCGGGAACCCAGACCGGTAAGCTCACAGGCGATCCCGCCAGAGAACGGGCCACTCCCAGCTTCCGCGCCCAGCGATGTGGGGGAGCCCTTGAGCTAGGAGACACCACCCCTCCTGCCCAAGCCCAGCAGTTTCATTTTCTTCCCTTCTTACACTGTCCGCTCACCCGGCCACTCGCTAAACTGCTCCCATCTCCGTCCTCTCGCAGTTCAGCAAAGGAACGCCCCGCTCCGCTGCCTCCAGATCTCCTCATTCGCGAACCGCAGCTGGACGCGCACAGATGGCTCGGCGTGGCTGGGGGAGCTGCAGACCCACGCTTGGAGCCATGACTTGGACACCATCCGCTTCCTGAAGCCCTGGTCCCGGGGCAAATTAAGTGACCAGCTGTGGGAGAAGCTGCAGCATACACTTCTGGTTTATCGAAGCAGCTTCACGAGGGACGTGCAGGAATTCGTCAAAATGCTGCATGTAGACTGTGAGCTGAGGGGTGGGGTCCTGGGCAGCTGCCAAGGGGAGACAGCGGACGCAGAAACCCAGCTGGGAGACTCTGGCCCCACCTAGCGGGATTCCCTGCTCTCTCCACCCGCTTCTGATTTCCACTTCTATCCGAAAGGTCCCAATCTCTGACTCCTCAAATTACCAACTGTTCCTCCCGCTCTGGACCACCCATTCTCATCTCCCTGAACTCTGGATAGTATAACCCTTACACCAAGTTTTCCTCCTTGACCCCTTCCAGAAGTCTGTTAAACCCTTCCTTTTTTGGTCTCTATCCTTTCTCCTCCTCAGATCCCTTTGAAGTCCAAGTGTCTGCTGGATGTGAGGTGCACCCTGGGAGCCCCTCAGAAAGCTTCTTTCACACAGCGTTCCAAGGAAGAGACCTACTGAGTTTCCAAGGAACTTCTTGGGTGCCAGCCCCACATGCTCCAGATTGGATCAAAACAGTCTGCAAACTACTCAACCAGGACCAAGGGACCCGGGAAACAGTGCAGTGGCTCCTCAACGACATCTGCCCCCAATTTCTCAGAGGTCTCCTTGAGGCCGGGCAGCCAGAACTGGAGAAGCAAGGTCAGCCTGCCTGTCTCACCCGCTGCCCTCCACTCTGGGGCTCCATCTGGGTTTTTCCGTTCCAGGATTCACATCCCTTTGAGTATCAGGGGAAGAGAAAGGCTCATGGGTGGATGGATAGAGCACAAGGGCATTTATTCATTCCACAGACATTAACTGAGCACCCTTTGGGTTCAATGAATTCAATTAAACAAACACTAGGGATCTCTGCTTGAAGGGAAGGATAAGAAGACATTAACAATTAAAGCGATGTTTGAAACATGCTAGATATGTTACAGTGAACACAGGATGCTATAGGAATACAGACAGGGACATTTACAGGATACTGAATGAGGGAAGGCTCTCCTGGAGAAGCTGACACAAATAGATTGACGTTATGAGAGACTTCATCTCCAGAAGTGGAAATGTGGGATGCATGAACCTGCTAGAAGGCCTTGAGCCTCTCACAGAGTCCTCACGTTATGATGCCCCATTCCCTTTTGGATACAGTGAAGCCAGAGGCCTGGCTGTCCAGTGGCCCCAGTCCTGGGCCTGGCCGTCTACTGCTGGTATGCCATGTCTCAGGATTCTACCCAGAGCCCGCAAGGGTGATGTGGATGCAGGGTGAGCAGGAGCAGCTGGGCACTCGGCAAGGTGACGTCCTGCCCAATGCTGATGGGACCTGGTATCTCCAAGTAACCCTGGATGTGGCTGCGGGGAAGGCAGCTGGCCTGAGTTGCCGAGTGAGGCACAGCAGTCTAGGAGGACAAGACATCATCCTCTACTGGGGTGAGAAAGAACTGGGGCCCAGCTGGGAATGGGAGGAGAGGATTCTCAAGCATAGAGAGAGGGACTGTAGAAGGGGTGGCAGTGGACAGATATATGCAGGATAGAGGAGTTTTGGAAATGAGGCTCCAACCAGGAGGGATAGAAGAAGGGTATTCCAGATACAGGAAGGAGAGGAATAAAGATCTGAACTCCAAAAGCACTGCGACAGGGTGTTCCATATGCAAGAAAAACTAAACTGAAAAACTCACAGCTCCAGACGTAGGTGGCAAATGAAGACTCCCAGGAGGACTCTCCTTCCTCAGGAGAGGGAACTGGGGACATCCGAGGGCAGGATAACATGTTGTAGATAGCTGCGGTTAACTGACTGCTTCCTGTATGTGGGCTGAGCAGTCTGCACACAGCAGATCATCTAATTATCACAACTCTCCTTTGAAGAAAGTACTATTTATTATTTTCACTTCAGAGATGAGAAATTGAGGCTAAGCTAGGTCAAGTTAACTGAAGTCAAGCCTCTCATCGTTAGGAAGAAGAGTTGGATTTAGATTTTAGCTATTGCCATTCTTCTAGATGCTGTACTGTCATATGCTGAAATGAACTGAATTATGGATGATCAGACCCTGAGAAAAGCTGGGGCATCTAAACTTCAGAGGAATGCAAATACGTGCTTTAAATAGGGGAGGAAATAAGAAGCACCTGGCATCCTCACATGTGATTAGACCAGGTGACTTGAACTAGGGAGGGATCCTGGGCTGAGAGATCTCCTATGTGCCCCCAAGCAGAGGGGAGCCATGTGTCCGTGAGCTTGATCGTCATGGCAGTGCTGGCATCCCTACTTCTGATAGGCGGAGGCTTAACCTTCTGGTTTAAGAAGCGCAGGTAAGTCTCCCTTTTCTGTCTCCTTCTTTCCTCAACCTTTCTCCCCATTTCCTGTCCCTTCCATCCCCTCTCCCGCTTTCCTTAATGGTCTCTCGCTTTCTATTGTCCCACAGCTCCTATCAAGACATCCTGTAACTGTCCTCACCACACCTCTCTGGAACTTGGGATCTCAAATTCCCACAACTTCAGTGCTCAGGAATTAAGTGTGAGAGAGAGGTACCTTGAAGAAGCAGAAAACAATCATAAGGCAGCTCTTGTCATACCCCTTTAATATTTTATCTAAGAGGATTTAAGTTCTTTTTTAGGGCTGGGCTGTATGGTCATTGTTTGAATGCTGGAATCTGCAGTGAACTGGAAAGCAGTCATCTTGTCCAAAGGAAGCAGGTCCAGCTGCTTGTTGTCAACTATAAAGGAAAACTCTGGGGCTTGGCCGTAACTTACATTTTTCAAGAAAAGTGGAAGTCTGGTGGAGAAAAGGGAACCCTGGTGCACTGTTGGTGGGACTGCAGGTTGGTGCAGCCTTTATGGAAATCAGTATGAAGGTATCTCAAAAAACTGGAAATGGAACTACCGTATGACCCAGCAATTCCACTCTTGGGTATCTATCCAGAGAAACCCAAGACGGTAATTTGAAAAAATATATGCACCCCTATGTTTATTGCAGCACTATTTACAATAGCCAAGACTTGGAAAGAACCGAAATGCCTATTGGTAGACGACTGGATTAAAAAACTGTGGTACATTTATACAATGGAGTATTACTCTGCTATAAAGAAGAATGAAATCTTACCATTTGCAACGATATAGGTGGACCTAGAGACTATTATGTTAAGTGAAATAAGTCAGTCAGAGAAAGACAAATGCCATATGATCTCACTATATGTGGAATCTAAAAAACTGAATGAACGAGCAAAGTAAACAGAAATAGTCTCAGAGATACAGGGGAACAACTGATGGCTGCTAGTTGGGAGAGGGTGGGGATGAGGGAGAAGGGGAAGGGATTAGACAGCATAAACACATAACTACAATATCGCCACAGGGACATGAAAGACAGTTCGAGGAATATAATTAATAATGTTGTAAATATTTTGTAGGGTGTTAGATGGTCACATGTCTTGCTAGGGAGACCGCATCATGGATGGGGTAGAGGCTTGATCACTGCACTGTACACCTGAAGCTGTTGTTGTATAATATTGTATGTCAACTATAAGTGAATATATATGTAGTCACGGGATGTGGAGTATAGTGTGGGAGTGGAGTCAAGGCAATTGTAATAGATATGTATAATATGGGGGGGAGTTGTCATTTTGAGGGGTAAAAAGTGTAACTATTGCACTGTTTTGTACAGCTGAAACTAATTTAAAAAATTTGTTTCACAATAAAAAAGAAAGAAAAAAACCCAAACTCATACATACAGAGAACATCTTGATGCTTGCCCGACAGGAGGGGGGTTGGGAAATGGGAGAAAAGGGGGAAAGGATTAAGAAGTACAAATTGGTTGTTACTAAGTAGTTATGGGGATGTAGTGTAGAGTGTAAAGAATATGGTCAATAATATTATAATAACTGTATTGGTGTCAGACTAGATTTATTGGGGTGATAGGTGGGAGGGGAGTGGGAGACAGGGTGAAAAAAGGTGAAGGGATTAAGAAGTACAAATTGGTAGCTACAAAATAGTCACAGAGATGTAAAGTAAAGCATAGGAAATATAATCAACAATATGGTGATAACTATGTATAGTGCCAGGTGGGTAATAGACTAGTCAGGGGATCATTTGTTAAATGCCTAACCATTAAGCAGTACACTTGAAATTAATATAAAATAATATTGAATGTCACCTGTAACTGAAAAATTTACAAAGGTGGGGGAAGGTGAAGGGGAATAAGAGACTCAAATTTGCAGGTATAAAATAAGTCATGGGGATGTAAATATACAGCATAGGAAATATAGCCTGTAATATTGTGATAGCATGGTACAGTGTCAGATGATTGCTGGACTTATGAGGATCACTTCTTTAGGTATATAAATGTTGAATAACTACTGTGTACACCTGGACCTAATATAATATTGTATGTTAGTTATATTTTAATAAAAATAAAAAAAACATAAGCAAAAATAAAATTAAAAAAAAAGAAAAGTGGAAATCTGGATTTCTATGTGAACATAACTGATACTAAAATGCTGGCTCAAACTTTTGTAAAATTTGGGGGGGTGGGACACCCCAAATACACTTCTGCTAGCTGACAACAACTCAGGGGCTCCCAGTTTGTGTCTCTCTTATAAAAAGTTTGTCCTAAATGCCACATTGGCAGTTTTAGGATGTAGTTTCTATTGTGAATTTGGATTTATAAAGAGGTACAAATCCTCTTTAAAAGAGTTAAGTTGTAAGAAACAGGTGTCTCAAGCTTTTACTTGGTGTAACTTGATTAAAAGAGGAGAAATCATAGGTATGTGTATTATGTAAAAAAAACTACTCTGGGTAGGGAATATTTCTCTCAAATGGGCTGTCACTTTATTCAGACTGGAAGAAGACAGTCATGAAGTTATCCCCCCAAAACAGGCTCTTCTGCTTATAGCTATTAAATGAGACAATGCACTGAAAAGGCTGAACCTACCTGGGCAGGAATGACCTTTAGTGATGCCAGCCCAGCTGTCTGCCCTATTCCTAAAGAAGAGAGAGCAGGAAGCTTAGAGAAACAGCAGACCTTCCTGATGCCAAGAAATGAGAAGTCCAAGTTAAGTCATCTGTTAGCTATCAGGAAAGCAGGCTCTAGGCACGCAAGGCCCTTGAAACCCCAGAAAAAAATGAGATTAAACTTTTGGAGAGTCTTTGCTTGAGAAAATTAAGATTTGGCATCTTCATGCTGGGCTTGCTGGTCAACCCTAGCATGTGGGTGAACATCCTGTAACTTCTAAACCAGTGCTTCCCAAATTGTGGTCTCCTGACCAGCAGCCTCAGCATCACCTGGGAACTTGCAAATTATTTTGAGTCCCACCCCAGACCTACTGAATGAGAAATCTTTGGAGTGGGGTCCAGTCATCTATTTCAACAAGTCCTCAGGTGGTTTTGATGTTCAGCTAAAATGAGAGAAGCACTATTCTTAGGCATTGTGTAATGTTATGCAACAAATTCCTAATAATACGAAGTGAAAATATTGGCCTGTGGTTAGTCAGGAAAGCCTTCCTGGAAGAAGGAGAATTTGAAGCAGAACTTAGAGACGTAGCAAGGTGAACCAGCAAGGGCACTGGATCGGGAGACTGGAGTTCTAGCTTCTGAGTCAGTTTCTTCCTGTGCCAAATGGGGATAATAATGTCTGTCTTGATTACACTACAGACTGAATGTTTGTGTCCTCCCCAAATTCATGTTAAAAATCTAATGTCCAACATGATGGATTGTATTTAGAAAGTGGGGCCTTTGGGAGGTGATTAAGTCGTGAGGTCTGAGTTCTCATGAATAGAATTAATGCCTTTAATTCTATTTAAAAGAGGCCCCTTACCCACTCCACCATGTGAAGACCCACCAGAAGGTGCCATCTAGGAACTGGAAAGTGGACCTTCATCAAACACCGAATCTTCTGACGCCTTGATCATGGACTTCCCAGCTTTCAAACTATGAGAAATAAATTTCTATTGTTTATAAGCCACTCATTCTGTGGTACTTCATTATAGCAACTCAAATGGACTAAAACAGATTTTCTCACAGACTTGTTGTGGAGAACAAATGTATACAAATGTGTGGCAATCTACAATGCCTTCAGAAATGTATGGCCTATCACTGTTTTTGGTACCACACTGCCCTCAGGTGATGCCATTCATTTTAGCTTCCTTAAGCAGTGCCAAATTCGTGAACTGATAGCATTGGCCTTTTACATTCTTTGGGCATGTGTGTTAAAGTCCCTTCTGAAATCTTTTTGAAAATGCTTCAGCGTGAATTTACAGTAGCTCTGGTTCATTTTTTTTAAAAAAGATTTTATTGGGGAATTGGAGGAGGGGGACAGCGCTGAGGAATCAGGGTAAGGGGAACAGACAAGTTGCTGTCGTTTTGTTCTTCAGTCTAGTTGTGGAGGACGTTGCTTCACTGGCTCATGTTGGTATTATCATTGTGCCCTTCCCGGATGAGGCCTCTGGACAGCCACTCACGGCAGCTCTTGGCAGCTCACACTGGCTGGTGGCCACTCACGCTGGCTGCCGGCTACACACGGTAGCTTATGGCAGCCCACTGCATCTGCAGCTGCAGCCTATGCTGTCACTGGCGACTCACGGCAGCCCAGCTCCAGGTCAAGCTGTTGTTCACCATCTTAGCTGCAGAGGGCAGTGTCACTGGTCCCCATGTGGGATCCGAACTGGGGCCCTGCTGCTCAGAGCCGGCTTCCCAAGCCAGCTCTTAACCAACGCGCCACTTGGCCGGCCCCTCTGGTTCATTTTTAAGCAACTGGTTTATTTTGAAAATGAAGGCCTATCTCTCCAGGGAATTCTATCTTGTTCCTTCAAATATTTAGTTCAAATCATCTCAGAAAATCCAGAAAATTCATTTAGAATGTGTTAATATTCTCTTTATAAATATTGTGTTCCTTTATTGAGTGCTGTGCTGATAGTCACTTTATTGCCACTGAGCTCCAAATTCATCTTTCATTATTTGCTCAGTGAGGATGGATGGAATTCCTCATCATTTCTCCTTTAACGTGAGCACAATGTTCAGCTTGTTTAGTAGAGGGCCCTGGAGAGACACTGCAGGAGGAAGGGTTGTTTCCAGCTACCACATGGTGGGCCAGCAGAGTAGGTACAAAGGTGCGCTGTGGAGTGCTGTCCGCCATGTGCCCAGAGCTCATGGACACTCAATGACTCTGCAGCCCCAGCCTGGCAATGACCTTCCCACGACCATCTTGATATGGAGAGTGGCACTCCAAAGGCTTCCTGCCCCTCCCGGTGCTCCACCTGCCACCTGGAGGTTTCCACTGTGTCTCACTCTTTCTGCAAGCCCCTGCCTATGTCTGGAGGGTTGCTCTAGCTCAGAGGTTGGCAAACTTTTGAGATAGAAGAGCCACCAGGGGTCAGCAAACTGCGGCTTGTGAGCCACAGGCTCTGAAGTAAAATTGAAAATGAAAATAAAACTATCATAGTTTCATTTATAAAAATTTTAAAGGATATTATTTACATAATGGTGATGATATAAAAATATATTTATGGCTCTGGAATAATTTTTAAATTGCTGTGAAGGACAGGAT